CGTGCTCACGTCGAACCTGAACGAGTTGTCTAGCACTTTCCCTTGAAACGTGAGTTTGGTTTTGGCAGTCTTTGCAAGATACAGAATCCGGACCTGCCGAAAAAGCAGGTTTAACACGGTATTTACGATACAAAACGAGGGTCGGTAGTTCATGGGAGGGGCTTACCATATATAAATATATATAAATATATATATATATATATATATATATAGATAGTCTTTATTAGAGTTTAGGGTTTAGGGTTATTATACAGTACAGCTTAGTTCGTTTTCGAATGCCCAGGCTATGCCTAGCTAGTGGGGTTAGACAAGCACTACAACAAGTTTAAAGAATGCCTTTGAAAAAAGGAACGCCGCCACCCGAGTCAGGAATGCAAGGGCATTCAGGCCTGAGCCCGCTCCTGGCCCACATGTCCAGCGAGTTCCTCGTGAAAGCTACTCCACATCTCACGTTCCATGGCACCGTACGCATAATGGAGTACGTACAACTGTAAGATGCCATGGCGTGTATATACCCCACCTCGATGCCATAGCCGATTGCATTCCCGGACAAGTCCACCATCTCCAAGTGGGGATGCTTGCCGAGGGCGGGTGCAAGAACCTCATAGCCAGGTGGATTCGCGGCACCAAACTGCCGCAGCAAAAATCAGTAACATCAGCCGGTAAAAACAGCTGGCGTTGAGAAAACGCCGTGATAGTAGCAAGTGTTGCTGTTGCTGTTGCTGTTGTTGTTGTCGTTGTTGTTGCTGTTGTCGTTGTCGTTGTCGTTGTCGTTGTCGTTGTCGTTGTCGTTGTCGTTGTCGTCGTCGTCGTCGTCGTCGTTGTTGTTGTTGTTGGTGTTGTTGGTGTTGTTGTAGTACCGTTAATTTAGGGGAGTCGAGAGCGGAGTAATGCAGAGCGGAGTAAAGGGGCAAAGCAGTACGAAACGTATAGCAGCAGGTCATAGTTGAGGCGAGAACAAGTAGCAGTAGCAGCAACATCAGAAGCAGCTGCAGCAACAATGACGCTGAGGAAATCGTCGTCGTGGTAGTAGCAGTGGTAGCACCAAGCGAGTGTCGTAGCAACATCCTAATAACAGCAATAGCAACGGGGTCAGAAGGAGCAGTGGAAGAACAACAGGACTGTGACTAGAATCTGGCTGAAAGAATGACAAGGAACAGTAGCCATAGTCGTAGCAGCGGTAGCCAAAAACAGTAATAGTAGTACTACTCGTAGTTGTGGTAGCAATCTGTGGTAATAAAAATAAAAATAAGTAACACCAATAATAATACTCGTCGTCTCATGACAAAGGGAAAATCATGGTGGTAGTCATAATAGTATTCATAATAGTAGTAGTTGTTATTATAGAAACAACAATGGTATTGGTAGAAATAGTGGTAGAAATAGTAGTAGTAGTAGTAGTAGTAGTAGTAGTAGTAGTAGTATAGTAGAAGTAGGAGGAGTAGTAGGTGAGTGAATACCTGGGCGACTGAGTGAGTCAATGATTGATTGAGTGAGTGAGTGCGTGCGTGCGTGAGTGAGTGAGTCAGTGAGTGAGTTTGCGGCCAGCTGCACGAGGTGGTACGCGCAGAAGCCATGCCTAAAGCGCCTATCGATCCTGGCTTTATTCTCAGGAAGCTCCGCAAGCGTCATTGCTTCCAACACTTCGATGGCGAACACACCAACTGCAGAAACCACACTCCGAGGCAGAGACCCAGTCAAACACAGGGTGTACAGCAATGCATCCAATGCATGCATGCTAGCCATCGCAAGCACACGCATGTGAAGGCCTGAACCCCCATGTCCGTAATGCCGGCATTGTTCAGGTAGAGAGCTCGCAGCCTCACTTTCGCTAGGGGGGGGAGCAAGGACTCAAGCCGCACTCGTCGAAAACAGGAAAACATTTACTAAGTATGAGCATCAAGCAACCAGCGGCTGAGTTCCAGCGATTTGACAAGCACCTGGCGCGGCTGGTTGTCGCGAGGCTCTGGCTGCGGAAGGAGGGAAGGGTGTGCAGCCTTGCCTGGAGTCTAATGCAGGGGCCGTAAGAATTAGAATGGGGTTTTGGGGCCCATTATACTATCATGATAATAAGGACCCCCCC